TTCCGCAGAAACATTTTGAGCTGAAAAGAGTGGGTTCTTCTTGCACTTTCTTGATTTGTACTTCCAAACCGCACGTTAACTACCTTCCTTCTAGCCATGTTCACAACTTTCCCTATTCTCCAATGGGGTGACAGACTAGGTTGATTCAGTATCCGAAATCGAGGCGGCATTCACATGCTATCTCAATCTATGGGGCTGCCATACAGATTTCAAGCCGAGGATAGACCCTGGGTATTTAAACCAGACTTTAGTCTCGGAAATTCCGACCTTTCGTTCTAGGCAATATGCCGTCCGAACTCTAGTTTCCACCGTCGCAGTTGGTCACCTAGGAACTCATTGCAAACACAGCCAAGATACATTTGGCAGGGGCTGGTTTTCTGAGGGAGCACTTCGATTTGCCATTCTGGCATTGAAGTAGCCTTGAGCTTGGAGTAAGAGGCACACTCATACTTCGGAGCATTGACAAGGCCTGAAGAGGTACATCTGGAGTATAATAACGGAGAGTATAATCACGGAAACTGAAACAAACTCAATGCTCCAATTTTCCCTCTTTTCTTTTGCTTTGCAAGCCTGGAACCTATATAGCTTCAAGTAGACCTGATTTTACTGTTCTCACATGACTTGGGTTGAACCGTGCGGTTTTATGAAAGAACGAATCTTGTTTTCCACAATCATTGAAGAATGGCATAGCACTCTGAGCACAAAACGATTTTATTTTTGAAATTAAGAATGAGTTCTTAACCGGGAATTGAGCCTACGACTGAATACAGCGAAAAGACCCAACACAACGAAAGACAAAAAGGTAAACAACCTAAACACAACGAGACACGCTCGGGACGACTCAAAGCAGGAATCGAGACAAACAAAACAAAAGACACGACACAGACGTATTACAAAGACGACAGACCTCTCAGATCGCGAGGAGCCAGTTTCTCCGGATATTGTTTCCCACCCTTTCTCATTTGTGTCTCTCACATCACTCATGCCTCAGGCTCTATTTTTCTGAAAAAGCCTTTTTCTCACTTTTCCTCTCATCGCACATCTCTCTATTCTCCGATCTCTCATTTTTCATCCCTCTTCTGGGTGGTTGATGGATAAACAGCAAATTGTGGGCTCGTACCCCTAGCATTCTGCTAGATTCTCTTTCTTCCGCTCCAAGTTAGTGAATTCCTCCCACGGAAAGGGTTCGCCTACAACTGGGTGTGTAGCAAATCTGCGCTAACATCAGTTGATGATGCTTGGCTGGGGAGTTTGGACGTGATAAGATCTGTCCAGATGATGGAGTGGAATATCTTGCCCCATTCTAGTTCGTGCTCTCACACTTTGCTCGATACCTCTCGTTGGTTGGAGGATGAGAGAGCTTTCAGCCCTTTGTTGTTAACTTTAGTTGTGCCTATTCTGGCAGGTAGAGTGCCGCTTCTTGGCAAGTATGTTGAAATGGGAAAGACAGGAAGCCTGACTCAACTGTGCCCCTAGTTCATCATTTTGACCATTTTTGTTTTAGTTCTCCTAAAAATTTTGACCAAATGAGAGTTAGATTAACATGCTTGTTCATTTTCTGATTTAAAATCAATGCAAGTCAGGCCATGAGCACCGAAAATTTTCCTCTTTTGGGTCCAAGAAATGGTCCAGTTTTGAAAATGGAATACTTTTTCAAGAAGATTAGTCAACTCAGTAAAAATTCTCAAAAAACTATTTTGCAAACGGGCCACTGCTGAACGAGCACGGAACCTACCCTTGAGATGCACAACCTCAGATCCGAAGGAAAATTGCCCCTTTCTTGAGGGCTGCATGGCAACGGACAATCGCCCCTGTTTGAACGGCACCGCGGCGGATTGAATGGCAACGGAAAGCTGCCCTTGTTTGGATGAACCGCGGTGCATTGAATGGCAACGGAAAGCTGCCCCTTGTTTGGATGACAACTGCGGTGCATTGAATGGCAACGGAAAAGTTGCCCCTTGGTCTAATGGCCACAGTAGTGTATTTGTAATCAGTCCTCAGAGCGTGATTTGCAACCGAACTCCCGGATATAGAAAAGACAAAGATGACTAGAACCATCACATGGACAAGTTGAATTTGAAGTATTTTACGGCTGGACTTCAAGAATGAAGTTGCCTAACGTATCCCAAGATTGGGAACAAGCCTCACCTAGTTCGGGGTTTAGGTACACTCGGGTATTTACCTCTCCTTTTTGTGCTCTAAACTTTTTCGCCCAAGGCCTGTTGCGGGTTTTCGACCTTGCGAGCATTGTTTTTCTTTTCTTTTTCAATTCTCTTTTTCTTCTCTTTTTTCTTTTTTTTTTCTTCTCTTTTTTTTTTTTTTTTCTTTTTTTTTTTTCTTTTCTTCTTTTTTTCTTTTTCTTTCTTTTTTTTGCTTATTGCTTTTTGTATATAACTTTTCTTGCTCTACTTTTTGCCTGAGTCGCCCTTTCCGGTTTTTCGGCCCAGCGAGCCTTTCAAAGGGTAAAGTGTAAACAAGTTCCATGCACAATGGTTTTAGGATCTCGAAGCCATCCATAATCAAGAGAGTGGGGCTGTTGTATCGATTTGGCCGAAGGAATCCAGTCTTTGGCTCTTCGAGCACTCGGACCTTTTCGCCCCTAGTTCGAGGGGTGTTTCTGTTCATAGCATTCGGCAAGCTTCTTCTGATGAGGTCTATCTTCTTGATCGTACTTTGTGCCTCTTGTTCGAGGGCTTGTTTCAAATCTGGCCCACACAGGCCTCATATCGCAGGTTGGACCGTTGAAACCTCCTGATCAAGGTCAAGGTTTGAAAGCAGGTCTCAAGTTCCGAGGCTGAGAGGCGATCCTAAGCTGGCACAATCTCAAGAGCAATTCCATTCACAAGTCTTCGCAGGACCGTGCAAAACATTTTTTTTTGAAATTTTTAAGAAAAACGACAAATCCGCTCGCGTGCTGAAGATAGTTGTGAAACCAGTCTGGATCAAGCCAGGGTCCTTCTTAGTACTGACGCTAACAGCATGATTTCATTCATTAAGAGGCTTAGCAGCCTCTCTTTCTTTCCTCCATTGTTATCAAAATTTTACAAAACCCAAGAATTTCTTCCTCTTTCGTTTTCACATACCACGTGTTCAGAGAAGTTTTTGGATAACTAGGTCGATGGCCAATGAATCCAAAGGCACAGAAAGAACAGCTTCTAGTCAAATACTGCATCTCAATTTGGAAATTTTCTGGTAAGAACTGGGCACATCGTGCTATAGACGGAGAGCAAACACGAGAGTGTGAAAATCACTGCCTATTTCATTGAGATCTGTTGGCACAACTAGCTCCTCGCAGAAAAACAGACTTCAAAAAAGCAAAAAGACCACGAAACAAACAGTGATGTCCGAGTAACACCCCTGAGATCACCCCGACTCCTATAACACAGGACTGACCGATACGACAAGACAGACTCAACTACTTAGTATGAAAAAGACTGACGTCAAAACAAAAGGACAGACTCAAAACACAAAACAACCAGACTGCTCAATACCCACGTCAGAAATGTAGCTTTGCCAACTGCTCAAAACGGTGTGTGCCAATACGCATATTTGGGAGTAAGTCGAGTGCCATCACGCAGTGGTTATCCCCCGATCACATAGTCACATTATTCCCCCCAAGTTCACTGATACAAGTGCCGATAGACTTGCAGGACTTGGTGCGACGATGACCGTATCAGATCTTGTATTGTCAGTGGCAGAGACGAAAGCACATGTCAGATGTCATGGCCAGCTCGTGATGGAAGGCACAGTAGTCCGGTCCTGGGTTTGTGAGAGAGGGAGGTTCTTTGGTAATCGGCTGCGGCTCAGGGGCTTCAGATGCCCTTTCTTGATCAAAACCCCTAGAGCCTTTGACAAAGGCTATATAAAGTGGGTGAAAACCTTACTTGGCTTGGGGTGGATATTGGCTGGCTTGCGAGCTACTCCCGAATGCACGCGGTGAATGGGGTGTTGTTTTGGTGCGGTGGCAGTGACCATGCCACTTCAAGAAGATCTTAGCCAACTGCATCAACCGCTGGTTGGTCCGCATTCGAACTGCGAAAAAACGCCTTCCTGGGCTGCTCCCTGTCATTGTCAATCAGGCCCTGCTTCATGGCATCTTTCCGATTTCTACTTCCCATCTCATGCAAAATCTGAAAAGGTAGGGAAGGGGAAGCCGATCAATTTTCTGCATTACGTTTGGGCTGGATGTTGCGCACAACCATCCGTATTTTGATTCCTTATCCGTTGGCTAATGGTCCATCATTGAGGCCTTGGCCTCCAGCGGGCCACGAATTCTGAGAAGCTCTCTTTAGGCTCCTGTCTCGTCGTCTCAAGATCACGGGTCATAATCTCGAATTTGGGTATTGGTAATGAAATATTTGTGCGATGAAGGGCCATCGCCATCCCTCCCAGCTTCCGTTTCACTGAATCCTCCAATTTGGCAGTACAAATGGCCGCAATACCAACAGGGTCCTTGCCAAAAAGAGGGAAAGCTTCTGTAATCTTGTCAAGCCCATGCAGGCGCAGAACATCTGAAAACTAACTCAGGTGGACCAACGGATCCTCCTGACCGTAAAAACGGTCGATGTGGAAGGCATCTTGAACCTGTCTGGCAGTGTCACTCAGCTGCGTCACGGTATAACCCGTCCTCAATGTCCCGAGATGGATTTAACCCTGGGAATTCTTGAACAACTTTCAAGCCTTGCTCAAGGCATTCTGACAAGGGCTTCATGCCATATGTACAAGGGCTATATGCCACCATGTTTAAGGGCTCCATGCCATATGTTCAAGGGCTATATGCCATTATGTTTTAAAAGCTTAATGTTAATGTGTTCAAGGGCTTAAAACCATTATGACTCACGATTGGGGCCTAAGGCCATTTAAAATGAAAACAGGAACAGATTAACTACATGATCTTCGCATTTATTTATGCATTGTTATGTATTATGTTTAAATTGTGCATTTATGTATCATACTATTCACTGAGCTTGGCTCATCCTATGTTATGTCTGTTTCTGTAGGTAACCAACCAAGTGGTCAGTTCTAAACCATGACGCTTGTCTTCTTTGGTCAACCTTTCCATGTCCAAGCCTAAGAGAAGCTGCTCTTATTTTCTTGAAGTTTTGACGAACTTTGGTTTTGCACTCTAGTTGTTGGCCTAAGGTTGAAATGTGTATAATACTTTCTTCCGAAACGTTTTTGGTGTATGCCCAATTATAGAGCTGGGCTTGTATATATGTGCGTATATATCCGATATTCAGGTGTATGTTTTAGGTGTTATTTGTCTGTTTAAAGTTTGTGATCCTGGCATGATAGTAGTAGCTCAATGGAGTTTGTTTCTATTGTCAAATTTTGATATTTAATGCTTCCGTTCAGGCCCCATATATTATATATATAACAGGTTAAGTGTCCGTTTCTGAAGTGGTCATGCCCAAACTTTTAGGGGCGGGTTTGGGGTCGTGACAAGTCGCTTTTAGCCTTCTCCGCATGAGACGCAGTGAGAATTGCACAATTTTCTTACATCCTTTCTGCATGAAATGTAGTTAGATTTGTATTCACTTGCTTAAAACTGTTGCATGGTATGCTTCATTACAGCTTTCTTTGCATGATCATAAGTTATGTTCCGCTTCTTGCATTGTCGGTTGCATTTTGCCCCTGCCTGCAGGCATGCCTGCGGGCGCATCTCTGTTTATCTTACCTGTTTGTCTAAGTCTTCGGCCTTTGTCAAAAATGGGTCGTCTCTGGGCTTTGACATTCACTCCCGTCACGTGTGACTTACGAGTTCTGTCAAAGAGGGGCAACTGTAGACACGCCATTTTTGACCGACCTTAAGACTAAGACGTCACCGATTGAGCGCTTGGTGATGTTGCATATTGTGCTCGTTCTGAAGTTTCAGAGTCTTAGCTGCGAGCCTTGCCTGCAGACTTCCGGACTCTTTTGTGCTTTGCCTCGTTTTTCGAACCAGGCCCTATTTTCTCTATTTTCTCTTCCTAAAGCAAGGGAGAGGTCTCGTAGATCATCTCTCAGTGGCCGTAGGCTACGTTTCGTGGTCATAGGCCATTTTTCCCGTTTGGAGCCCGGTTTCCGATTTTTCGGAGCCGACGGCCGTGTGCCACGGTTCGAGACCGCTTAACCACCTCCGTTTGCTTCAGTTTTTGGTACATACCTTATTTCCTCCCTTTCGAGGGACACTGTGGTCCGAGAGACCGACTTTGTGGTCAAACACCACTTCCGGTGCCTAACAATCAGTTTTCGGGGCCCCAAACTGCGCGTTTTGGCCCCCGAGCCTTGCTTACGAGCATTGTTGGGCTCCGACCCAAACTAGAGGTACTCATATTTTGAGTTCCTTTTCATGTTTGATTAAGGACATTTTGCTTTTTGAGATCTCCTCCTATCACTTTCTTCTTTAACGCTCTTTTAGGCCTATTTTTGCACGGTATTTTAGGTTTACTTCTGAGCTGTTTCGGACTTGGTCATAAACTACAAAGTGTCTTTTTTAGAGCCTTTCTTCAACTTTATTGAAGGGCTCTCGGCCATTTGGGTCCATAAGCTACCACTTGCCTTTATACCTCACTTTTTGGCCTTTTTGGGGGGAAATTTGAATTTCAATTTCCCCCCCATTTTTCCCCCTCTTTTCCACCTCTTTTGCTTATAAAACCAGCAGCTCCCAGCTGTGTTGGGGGGTTACAAAAAATTGTTTGAAGCATTATACACACAACCTCCCTCTCCCTCTCTTCCAAGCTCCAAAACCCTTTGTTCTTGGACCATTTTTACACTACAACCCCTAGCCTATCACCTCCATTACTCATTTTAGTACCTTGGAGGACATTTGAAGAGGTTGAAAGCTCAGATTTTTGGACTAAAAGCTGCTGGAAAGTTGTTCTTCAAGGGTGAGTCCCTATTTCCCTTAAACTTGCACTTTTTTGCATGATTGTTTAGCTTTACTTGCAAGTATTTTTGGAATTCGATCCAAACTGAAAAAGATCATATTTTGAGGTCATATTCATGTTTGATTAAGAACTTTTTTCTGTTTGAAGTCTTATTCTCCCCCTTTGTTCTTTACCTCTCTTTTAGGGCCTATTCTTGCATCATATGCTAGCCCTGTTTTTAAGCATTTCTGGGCTCCAAGCTAAACTGTGAAGTGTCTTATTTAGAGCCCATATTCAACATTGTTGAAGGGCTCTTCACTTTTTGAGGCCTCCATCTGTCACTTACCTCTTTATCTCACTTTTGGCCATATTTTTGCATGATTTGTTATCCCCTTGTGCTTATTTTTTTAGGATTTGATCCGAACTATAAATGGCCTTATTTTGACCCCCTATTCATGTTTTATTAAGGGTCTTTTACTTTTTGAGGCATCCTTTTTGTACTTTTTGTTATAGCTCTCTTTTTGGCCTTGTTTTGCATAGTATTTTGAGCATGCTTATGCACTGTTTTGGGTTTGATCATAAATTGTAAAAGGTTATATTTTGGGTCCCTCTTCAACATTGTTGAAGGGCCCTCATCTGTTTGGAGCCATCATCTGCCACTTGCTTCATTATCTCGCTTTCGGGGCCATTTTTGCATGCTGGCTTAGCCCCATTTGTGTTCGCTGTTTGGCCTTCCTTAAAACTGTAAACATGCTTTTTTTGGGACTGTCTTGAGTCTTTCTTTACATTTCATGTTCAAATAATGCATTTTTTTTATAGCTATAGGCCAATGCATATGCCTAGTTTCGTGTTTCGGGTTCATTCCGTGCATCGGGTGCCATGTTTCCATGATTCGGGGCTATTTTGGGTCATATTTTAGCGCTGAAATTTGCATGCTAATATGCCGTATTCCGTGTTTTGCCATGTCTTGTTAGAGTGGCATTTCATGCCTTAGGGTCGGTCCTCGGTTTGCGTGCACGTGTGCACGCATCTCGAGTGTCTCATTTTCATCTTATGGCCGCTTATGTGAGTGTGGCTGAGGTCCACTTGTGTTAGTGTAAGTCCATTATCGCATTGTGTATGCCATTTCATTCCATAGTGTTGTGTATGCTAGGTTGTATGTTAGCGTATTGTGTATGCCATGTCATCTCGTGCATCGTGTATGCCATTTCATAGCATGTTGCATGTTAGATTGTATCTTATTTGCATTTCATGCATGTCATGCATATTTCATTGTGTTTGGGATAGGAGTTAGACTGAGCACGGGAAACGAGGTACGTTTCGTACTCCAAGAGACGGAACGTGTCTCAATTCCCCAGTCACCGACACTCCGGATTATCCATGATGGAGTTAGGTTTTAGTTGAGTTTTCATGTGCATTCACTCTATATTGAGTAATGCAAATCGATTCCTCGGCCATCATGCGTCGATACGCGTGATTGGTGGCACGAGGATCGAGGCATGCATACATCTGTGAAAATACATTGCTATGCCCCTCTCCTGCTCTCTGTTGCAGCAAATCAAGAATCAGTAGTCTTCCGGGGCTTGGCGCGCTTTCCAAGAACCATTGCACAACAGAGGCTAATTGGGGCATCACAGTGGATTTCCGCGCAAAAATGCGACCCGGATATGCATCATTCATCATCTAGAGAAGAGTCAAGACAGTCCCTGGCTTGCATGCCAGTTTATTATTTTTCTTAGTTAATTTGTAAATTAATTAGGGATTTGTACATATTTGGGCTGTATTATTTGGACTGTATTATTTGGACTGTACTATTTATTCGGACCCTCTGCGCGAGGGCAATGTTGTAATAAGTGTGCGTGAGTGTGATGTATGTCTTCCAACCCCACATCTTTCTCCATTTTATTTACCAGCTTATGATGGCTAGATTAGGGCATATTTCAATTAGCATACAGTATGATAGTATGTTTGCATTCATTCATCTGTTTTGCATGCACCGGGCTCGGCGCATCATACTAACTGCATTTGTATTTCAATTCCAAGTTGAATACATCTTAGCTGTGGCATTTCATATGTCATGTTTAGAATAGCCGAGCCTATCTTAATTGCATTTTTGCATGTGTTACATTAGGCATTTCTGTATAATTAGGATCATGCATGGATTTCTAATCAGCTTCTGTTTTGGCTTGGAGTACTCGGTAAGTTTTATGCTTTAGCATCCTTGCATGCGTGTGAGTGACTGCCATGATAGCATGCTTACTATGAGGCTAATTGCTTATGTGATATATCTGCCTGAATGCCTATGGGTGAAGGTTGGGTTATTTGGATTGGAACAATTCATCAAATGTGTGCTTTAAGCCCACTAGATAGTGGCAAAATCATGTTTTCTAAGCCCACCTGAGGGTGGCAAATCCACGTCTTAGCCTACTTGCGGGTAGCACCATCAAAGCATTTTCAAACAAATAAACATGAAATGTTTTGTCCCAATTCAGGCGATCCAGTCTATACTTGTATGATGTGCGCATCACATAGTAAATCTAGGCTAATAACCGGAATAAGAACACATAATGTTTTCAAAAATAGATATCGTGGTTAGTAGAGGCCAATCTTTGATCGGGCGAGCGGGGGTGCTCACGAAGTGACCTTCCCCAATCGTACCCAAGTTCTCGAGCCGAGGAAACTTTGGCTATGACGGACACATGGCCTTAGGCAAACGAGTCAGGGTTTCCTAAATTTCCCCAAAATAAAACATTTAGGTGGCGACTCTGTATCTGGCAAAGCAGTCCATGTTTGGCACTTCTTTCAAAATCTATTTTCTCAAAACGATTTGCCGGATTTGGACTCTTTGGTTCAGATTTAGAACCGTGACAAATTGAGAGCCCTGAACTGTAGTGAGCCCAATATCGAACGGAACGAGGGGACTCGTTCCCTCCCCGGGGCGTTCGGGGGACGTCTACAATGGTCACCACCACCACCACCCCAAGAACCCTTTCCGTTACACCATTCACCGGTGCGTCTGGAAGTAGCTCACAAACAACCAAGTTTCCACCCCGAGGCCAAAGAATCTTCACCCCACTATACATGTCTTTGTCCAAGGCTTTGGGGGTTTTGATCAGGAAAGGGCACTTGAAGCCCCAAAAGCTGCGGCCACTACCAGATAGACTCCCTGCTTCCCATGACCCGACCAAGTATTGCGCCTTTCACCAGCAACATGGTCATGAAACCGACATTTGCTTTAGATTGCATCACGAGATTTAGGATCTCGTTGACAACAGGGTGATCGTGCCTCCGGAGAAACCGAATGTCACAACCAACCCTCTCCCACCACATAACCAAGCTCCACCTCCCAAACGCATCAATATGATCTGAACTGGGTTTGTGTCATACGACCC